AGCCATGGGGAAAAACTTCTGTTATATGTAAGATGAAAACTGCAGAACATGAAATTATATATGGACTATGGTCACATAGATATATTAAAAAACAAACAAGGCACCTATGTGGCTCAGTTGGTTCAGCATTTGACTTCAGCACAACTCATGATCTCAGGGTCCTGGGACTGAGTCCAATCCCCCAACCCTAGGTCAGACTCTGCACTCAAGAAGGAGTATGCTTGAGATTCTTTCCTTCTTCCTTTGCCTGTCCCACTGCTTGTACACTCCCTTCCCATCTCTCTCTCTCTCTCCCTCTCTTTCTCAAATAAATAAATCTTAAAAAAAAAAAAAGAAAAAGGAAGCAAAAATTAATCCTAGACCTTTTTTTTTTTTTTTTTTTTTAATGGGAAAAAGTATCCCAAATGTTAAAGTGATTGTCTTTGGTAGGAGGCACTACAGGAATTTAAAAATTCAAACTCTGACTTTCACATTTTTGTAAATAAAGAAAATGTATAATTTTTTTAAATGAAAAGTAAAGGAAATATTGAACTGTAAATTCATGGCAAGAGGGACTGAGGGCATAATTTAATTTGGCAAGGCTTATCTTACATATAAGAGATGGACACAATCAGGTGATTTGTTTGTCCTCTTTGCTGCCAATAGAACTGAGATGACACTGAAAGCATTTGAGTCCCCCACTAGTTGAGTCACAGTCCAGAGGAACCCCAAATGACTCTAATTATCTGCTGCCAGTTGTATGAAACACATTCTCTGAGGGGATAGAATTCTTCACAGCACAAGAGCAATCCCAGCTTCAGGAACGAGGGAGATTCTAAATCCAGCTCTACCACAGCCTTTCATGACCCCATTCTAGCCACCCTCCCTCCACAGGTAACCCCAGCCTGTAGCGGGGGACTAGAGGTGCACCATCTCTCTAATCCCTCAAGGTCTTGGCTCCCCTGAGGAGTTATGACTCCATAAGTGTGCTGGTGACTCAGATCTACCACTAAGGGAAAGTGCAGTCCCTGAAGCAAAACAACTCCATATGACAAAATGCTACCCCACAAACTGCCTACAAAACACTTAATCTACCCACACAATACTCAGAAATAACCCTGTTGTCCTATTGTTGGTGGTTATTTTAGCCAAATGAAATTACATAAAATGAGGGAGCAGAGGTGGGTTATAGTGAGAATGGCGGCGGGGGGAGGGGGGCTATTAACACATACTGAGTATTCTAGAACTTCACATACTTCATTTAATGCTTACAAAACAGGGATGGAGAGGAAAGGGAAGTTTGGTTGACCGGGTTCAAAAAGCCAAATCTATCCTGTTCAAATTCCAGTGCACTTTTCACTCTCAACATTCCTAAATATGTGCTGTATGTGTGTGTACTAGAAGTGAGCAGTTAAATATATTTATGGTTTATAAATAAAACATTTATAAAAGTGATTATTTTTATTCACGTGTGGTGAAATTACCAGTTGAAGTTTGTAATGACTCATTGACAAATTATGCTCTGACTTTCAAGTAACAAAATTAGAGTTTAAAGGTTTTTGATGATGAGACCATATTTCTGATAGGACAGACTGAAGAGGATGTGAATTTGAACTTCTCCAGGTAGCCTTGACAGGTAGGGTTTAAGCAGAAGTGGTTGTATGCTTAAAACTGGGCTTTCATGTGGGTAAAATAGGGACTTTTGCTTTCAGTCAAGAGGAAGTACCAAGGACTGGATTTATCCTCCCACCTGAAACTGATAAAATAAGTGAAACAAAGATCTGCAAGACATTGTACTTAAGGCAATGGAAGGTAATGATTCCTGACAGATGAAGATAAAGTAAAGCAAGCCCTGAAGTTGCCCCGGGTTTATCATCATGGGAGTTCAAATTCCATGGCAAAGCACAGGAGTTCGAATTAAGGAGAAGCCTTGGAGACTCCCTAAGTTGAGAGGATGGAATGGAGAACCCAGGAAGACCAAGTCCACCAGAGTCCACAGACCAGTGCTGAGTACAAAAGAGCTGCTAAGAGAGAAAACATCAATCACGGAGGACCTGCCTCAACACCTCAGCTGAGAACTTATTGGCAAGTGTTTGTAAACAAACTATTCAAGGTCAGGAAAAGACAAACCCCAAGGATTGGAGGTAACAGTGCCTGGCATCAAAAGAAGAATGGGAATAGTGTCTGTTCTCACCAACCATACTAAAATCATTGAAATTCCATGGAGCCTCAGTAATAGTGAATCCTTGACTTAGGAAGTTAAGGATGCTTAAGATGCACTGCTCCTTAAAAAATCTTCAAAGCAAGGCTCAAAAGCATCAATTTGTTTCCAAGTACTTGAATGTGTCCTGAAGCAAAACTGAAGAATATTTAATAGGACACCAAAATATCCACCATCACCCAACAAGGAAAAACTCATAATGTCGAACATCAACAAAAAATAGCAAGTATGGGGGGAGGGGGGCGGGGCAAGATGGCAGAGGAGTAGGAGGAGTAGGGAGGGAGTAGGGCCGATCTCCGTACAGGGCTGGGGCGCCCACGGGGCCTCAGGGAGGAGCCGGGGGTCAGGCGGCGGCTCCGGAGGGGGCTGCACCTGCTGCCTTCGGGAGCCACAGCCCCGGGAGCCGATTCCAGCAGCACAGGCCCCTGAGCCCAGGGCGCCCAGCGGACACAGCCCAGGATCCTGCACTCCCCCGGGACAGGCAGAGGCAGGGAGGGCACAGGACAGTGAGGATGCTCCTGCCGCCGGGGGGCCCCCCGAACTGTGATCAGCGCCCCTGTCCCCGGGAGCACCCAGGCCCGAGCGGACTGGGAGTCTGTGATGGTTACTGCGGGAGCTGACTCCAGGACTGGAGAGCTGGCCACCGCCAGTGTTGTTCCTCCTGGTGTGTTCCTCCAGGGACCCTGTGCCTGGGACAGAGCAGGGTCGCCAGGGAACAGAGGCCTCATGGGGTAAACAGCTTCCACTGAGCCGTGCACCTGGCAGGGGTCAGGGCAGCTCCCCCAGGTGCACACACTGAGAATCAGCACAGCAGGCCCCTCCCCCAGAAAACCAGATGGAAGGACAGAGGAAGAGCAAGTTCTTGACCAAGCAGCGCTGGAAAGCTCCAGGGAAAGTCGAGGGATTTACAGTATATAGAACCAGAGGCTACCTCTCCTTTTTTTTTTCTTCCTTTTTCCAGTACAAATCGTTTTTATATCAGTCTGTAAATTTCCAATTTTTTTGCTCTTTCCCCACCTTAACTACAATATTTTACCACCTCTTCAATTTTAAGACTCTCTTCCTTCTTGACTTTCATATTTCTACAATTACAGGTCCTAGACATATTTTCCACTTCTAGATTCCCTTCAACATACTCAACTTAATTTTGGGAGACATACAAGATATGTTTTTTGTTTTGTGTTTTTTGTTTTCTCTGCCTCGTTTTGTTCTACAATGGTGGAAGTTAATACCTTCTAAAACCTGACCAGATGCACCCGGAACCAAGTGCTATACCGTGCTGCTTCACTCTGTGAGATTCCTCATTCCCATTCTGCTCCCCTCTTTTATCTCATTTATGTTTTGATGAGCCTTCTACAAGTATTTCTGGTTTACATAAATTTGGGACTGAGCATCTTCTAATATACAGAACTTAATATACTCAGAAACAAGAGGATCACCCTCTAGAACCCCTCAGGTAGATGACATTCTCCTCCACTACAACTTCTTCACCACCACCATCTCCCAGTACTCCCCCTCCTTTTTTTTTCTCCTTTTTTTTTTTATTTTTCTTCTCTTCTTTAGGATTCCAGGCCTTTATTTTTTATTACTTTGTTTTAAAATTTATTTTTCACTTTAGTGGTCCTTTTATTTTATATCATTCTGATCTTTGTTTTCAATTTCTGGTATCTGACCTTGGCAGAATCATCTAGGGTGAAATTTACACAGGTCGTGGTTGATGTTCTTGGTGCAGCCCACTCATACAGCCACTCTGCACTGAACAAAATGACTAGAAAGAAGAACTCACCACAAAAGAATCAGAAACAGTACTCTCTGCCACAGAGTTACAGAATTTGGATTACAATTCAATGTCAGAAAGCCAAATCAGAAGCACTATTATAAAGCTACTGGTGGCTCTGGGAAAAAAGCATAAAGGAATCAAGAGACTTCATGACTGCAGAATTTAGATCTAATCAGGCTGAAATTAAAAATCAATTAAATGAGATGCAATCCAAACTGGAGGTCCCAGTGACGAGGGTTATGAGGTAGAAGAAAGAGTGAGCAACATAGAAAACAAATTGATGACAAGGAAGGAAACTGAGTAAAAAAGGGAAAAACAATGAAAAGACCCTGAGGAAAGGTTAAGGGAAATAAATGATAGCCTGAGATGGAAAAATCTGCATATAATTGGGGTTCCAGAGAGCACGAAGAGAGACAGAGAGCCAGAAAGCATATTTGAACAAAGCATATCTGAGAACTTCCCTAATTTGGGGAGGGAAACAGGCATCCAGATTGAGGAGATAGAGAGGCTCCCCCCCAAAAAAAATCAATAAAAACCATTCAACACCTTGACATTTAATAGTGAAACTTGCAAATTCCAAAGATTAAGAGAAAATCCTTAAAGCAGGGAGAGACAAGAGATTCCTAACTTATATGGGGAGAAATATTAGATTAACAGCAGACCTCTCCACAGAGACCTGGCAGGCCAGAAAGGGCTGGGAGGATATACATAATCTTTGCAAGTGTGCATGGACCATTTATTTGGATAAACCATTTATTTGGATAAACCATAAAACAAATCTGTATATATTTTAAAGGATTCAAAGAATATGGAAGTTGTTCTCTGTCACAAAGGCATTATATTAGAAATCAACAACAGAAAGATATTAAAATTTCCCAAATATCTGGAAAATAACATGCTTATAAGTAATATATGAAATAAAGAAATCAAAAGTTAAATTAGAAATTTAACCACCATATTGTTATAACTAATAAATTCAGTAAAGTTACAAGATACAAAATCAATATATAAAATGTTTTGGTGCTTGTTCTAGCAGCACATATTCTAAAATTGGAACAATACAGAGATCAGTATGGTTCCTGCACAAGGATAACACACAAATTCATGAAAGTATTCCATATAAAAAAAAATCTTATGTATTTCTATATGCTAATAACAAACTACCAAAAAAAAAAAGAAATAAAAAATAACTCAATTTACATTGCATCAATAAGAATAAAATACCTAGGCATAAATTTAACTAAAGAGATGAAAAACTATATTAATGAAAGATATTGAAGAAGGCACAAATAAATGAATATATTCCATGCTCACATGGATTAGAAGAATTAATATTGTTAAAATGTCCATACTTCCCAAAGCAATCTACAAATTCAATACTGTTCCTATCAAAATTCCAGTGGCATTTTTTTACAAAAATAGAACAAAAAATCCTAAAATTTGTATGGGATCACCAAAAATCCCAAAGATAACCAAAGCAATCCTGAGAGAGAAGAACAAAGCTAGAGGGGTCACACTTCCTGATTTCAATCTATATTACAAAATTATAATTATGAAGCTACAGTATAGAATAGGCGTAAAAACAGACACATATATCAATGGAACAGAATAGAAAACCCAGAAATAAATCCACACATATTTGGTCAAGTAACTTATGACAAAGGATGGAAGAATATACCATGGGAAAAGACAGTTTCTTCAGTAAATGGTTTTGGGAAAACTGGATAGCTACATACAAAAGAATGAAACTCAACCACTAATCCTATACACAAAAATTAACTCAAAATGGATTAAAGATTTGAACCTAAAACTTAAAACTCCTAGAAGAAAATGTAGATTGTAAGCTCTTTAACATCAATCTTGGTGATAATTTTTTGGATCTGACACCAAAAGCGAAGACAACAAAAACAAATATAAACAAATGGAACAACATTAAGCTAAAAGCTTTTATACAACAAAGGAATCAACAAAATGAAAATGCAACCTACCAAATGGGAGAAAATATTTGCAAATCATATATCTGTAAGGAGTTAATCTCTAAAATATACGAAGAACTCATACAATGAGTTCTTTATATGACAACAATTGATGACAAACAATCCAATTAAAAAATTAACAGAAGACCTGAATAAACATTTTTTTTTCAAGAAGACATACAACAGGTAATAAAAAGGCACTCAACAGCACAAATTATCAGGGAAATTCAAATCAAAACCACAGTGAGATATTACCTTACACCTGTTAGAATGACTCTTATCAAAAAGTCAAGAAATAAGTGTTGGTGAGGATGTGGGAGAAAAAAAAAAGAATATCCTTGTGCACTGTTGGTAGAAATGTAAATTAGTATAGTCATTATGAAAAACAGTATGGAGGTTCCTCAAAAATTAAAAATAGAACTACCTTGATGATTTAGGAATCTCACTTCTGGGTATTTATCCAAAGAAAACTAAAATACTAACTGGGAAAGACATATGCACTCCCATGTCCATTGCAGCATTATTTGCAGTTGACCAAGACAGGAAGTAATCTAAGTGTCCATTGATGGATAAAGAAAATATGATATGTACAAAAGAAGATCTTGTCATTTGTGACAATACAGATGGACCTTGAGGGCATTATGCTAAGTAAAATAAGTCAGGCAGAGAAAAACAAATGCCATATGTTCTCAGGTATATGTGAAATCTAAAAGAAAGAAAGAAAAGAAAAGAAATGAACAAAAACAAGCTCATAGATACAAAGAATATATTGGTGGTTACCAGAGGTAGGAGGTGGGGCAGTGGGTGAAGTGAGTGAAGGGGGGCAAAGGGTAGAAACTTCCAATTACAAAATAAATAGTCATGAGGATATAATGTATAGCATGGTGACTATAATTAATAATACTGGGTATTGCAAATATGGAAGTTCCAAACAAAGTAGATCTTAAAAGTTCTCATCATAAGAAAAAATATTAGAACTATTTTTTCATATATTAACTAGACTTATTGTGGTGATCATTTCACAGTACATACAATTATCAACTCATTATGTTGTACTCCTGAAACTAATATAATATTGCATGTTAAATATCCATAAATAAAAACAAACAAACAACATAGGATTTAAAACTCTAAAAAAATATAATTTTTAGCTGAACGAAAATGAAAGCACAACACATTGAAATTTACAGGATGCCACTAAAATGTACTTAGAGAAAATAAAAGCACTAAACTAAACACCTCTATTTAAACAGAAGAAAGGTCTCAAATCAATTATCTCAGTTTCTACCTTCAGAAACTGGAAAATAGGAGAAAATTAAACCCAAAGGAAGTAGAAGAAAGGAAATAAAAGAAATAGAAAAGCAGAAAGTAGTAAAACAACAGAAATAAGTCCATGAAACCAAAACCAGTTCCTTGGAGTGATTACTACTGTTATTAAACCTCTAACTAGACAACAGGAAAAGAGAGAAAGAGAAGTTACAAATTATCAAAATCATGAATGAGAGAAGTGATATTTCTACAGATCCTACAGGTATTCAAAGGATAATAGGGAAAAATCATTGTGCTCGTTGAATAGTGTTTCCAAAAAATTCATGTCTACCTGGAACTGGTCAACATGAACTTTCTGGAAATAGTGTTTTACATGTGATCAAGTTAAGGTAATGTCATACTATATTGGGTTGGGCCCTAAATCTGACAACCTTACAGGAAGAGGGAAATTTAACATAGAGAAACACACAAGAGAACATCATGTGAAGATAGACACAGAGATTATAGTAAAGAACCTATAAGCCAAGGAATGCCATGAATTGTCAGCAATCACCAGAAACTAAGAGGTATGGAACAGATTTTTCCTTCAAAGCCTCTAGACAGAACCAACCTTCCCAACTTTTGACTTTGGACTTCTAGTCTCCAGGACCATGAGACAATAAATTTCTGTTGTTTTAAGCCATGGCAATTTGTTACAGAAATCCTAGAAAACTAATACAATTTTTAAAATATTTATGCCAATAGATTTGAAAATTTAGGTGAAATGGAAAAATTTCTTAAAAGATAAAAACTACCAAAAACTCACACACAAAAAAGAGAATTTCTATTTATTGCTATATCTATTAAGAAACAGAATTGTAGTTAAAATTTTTCCACAGGAAAAAAAAAATTTTCCACAGAGAAAACTCCAGACCCAGATGGATTCACTAATTAATTCTACCAAACATTTAAGGAAGAAATAATAGCAATTCTACACAAATTATTCCAGAAAACTGAAAAGAAGGGAATACTTCCCAACTGATTGTATGAAGTCAGAATTACTATAATACCAAAACCAGAAAAAGACATTACAAAAAAATAAAACCATAGATCAATATCCCTTGTAAATATGGATGTAAACATTCTTTGCAAAACTTCAGTAAATGAAATCCAATAATGTATTTTAAAAAAAGAGTACTTCTTGACTAAGTGGGGTTTATCCCAGGATTACAAGATTGGTATAGCATTCAAAAACCAACCAATGTAAATTCCATGTTAACAAATTAAAACAGAAAAACAGTGTTTATCCCAATAGATGCAGAAAAGGCATTTGAGAAAAATTCAACAGCCATTCCTGATGAAAAAGTAAAAAACCTCTCAGCAACATACGAACAGAAAGTGAGTTTCTTTTACCTACTAAAGAGCTTCCACAAAAAACCTACAAGAAAATCATACTCAATGATAAACAACTGAACACATTCCCTCTGAATCAGAAGCAAGACAAGGATGTCTACTAACCACCTCAATCACCTTTGCATTGGAGGTTCAAGTCAGTATGATAAGGCAAAAGAAGAAAGAATAGTTGAATAGGAAGAAGTAAAACTATCTCTAGTCACATGATTTTCTATATAGAAAATTCAATGAAATTTTAATTACCAGAACTTAAAAATGAGTTTAACAAGTTTGCAGGTCACATGAGGAATGTACCAAAGATCCCAATTGTATTTCTATATACTAGGAATAAAAAATCATAAATTGAATTTTTAAGAAATGTCACAACATCAAAAAATATGAAACACTTGGGGACACATCTGACAAGAAGATTTGGAATTATGAAATACTATTGAGAGAAATTAAAGGAGACATATGTCATGTTCATGGATCAAAAACCTCAATATAGTCAAGACATCAATTCTCTCCAAATTGATCTGACACAATCCCAATCAAAATCCCAACAGAAGTTTTTTTTTACATATGGGCAAACTGATTACAAAATTCAGTCATAGATGCAGTGGACCTAGAATATTCAAAACAACTTTGAAAAGGTCAAAACCAGAGGACCAACATTCTCTAATTTCAAGACATTGTAAACTACAGTAATATTAAGACGATATGGTATTGTCATAAAGGCAGGCAAATAAATCAATAGACCAGAACAGAGGTAGAGCCCCATCTTGAGCAACCTTGAACAGTAATTTAGTGATGGGTCATGAGACCATGGGAAGCACACTGTTCAGTCTGCTCTAGTCAGCCTGTGATCCAGGTGCAGCTCAAACATCTCAGCACTCTCTTCCACCAGGATGAGCCCTTTCAACCCAGGGCATCCCCGGAGACCAAGGATAATAACTGAACTTCCTCCCTTCCGTATTTAAGAGTCACACCTCTCCCCAAGGGTCCTGGAACTTGATTTCCCAGTGCTACTAACCAGCTGTTGATCCTAAAGTCCTCTATATTCATGTGGCCAAAAGAGCTCCCTGGGCCCCATGTAAGCAGCATAACTCCAAGTAGCCTGGCCTGGCCTGAGGGACTGCGATCAAGGGCCCTGCCCCTGGTCATGTGTCTAGAAGTGGGTCATTGTCCCCACAGGACCTGTGGTTTAGTAGGAGAGACAAAGGATTCAACAAGCAATTGCAAGGTTGGCACACAAAATCTTACAGAAGGGTAGGTGTATGATGCCCACCCAGCCTATCACCAGAGCACCTAACCTGGGTGAGGCAGGCCATGAAGGTAGCCCAGAGATGGTGGCATTCAACCAAGACCTGAAAAATAAGTCTGAGTTCAAACTGTATTTAAGTCCTTTTGGGCTGTGTTGCTTTATGGGGCTCATAATAAGGATAAAGCAGAAGCAGAGAGAGGGAGTAGGCAATAGAACAAAGTGGTCTAGTTCCTAAGTAAAAGGC